GTCTTTCGCAACATTTTTCAAATGTTGTCGTATCTCTCTACTCTACGACAACATCTCGATTTGCAACATACGTCCAAACGTTGTCGTAGGCCTACGACAACGTTAGTGACTCAAGAACCAAAATGGCCAATAATCAAGATTCAAGATTCGGAATAAAAATCCATTAATAAGAAATCATTCCCAAAGAATTAAGGTATGTTTCGCATTATTAATTTTATTTGTGATTTGACAAGGAGGATCTTGGCAATAAAATAATTATGTTTTTTAGTTTTATAATGTTTAAAGTTTCATGAAGTTTCAACAAGTGGTATTAGAACTAATTCTATGCTAAACTATTGAAATTCATTAAAAGAATTTTAGGGTTGAAATTCATGCTTTGGATTTCAAGTTTTGGAATGCGAATTTTTGTCTTAAATTTCGAATTTTAGAAAAAAAAAAAAATGGGTGTTTTCTAATTTGTCAAATTTAGGGATTAATTGTTAAATTTGAATACGGTTATAACTGATTACTTTAAGTTCTATTTTGGATTCAATTCAGGAAAAAAAAAAATGCTTTGTTATGTTTCGATCGAGTTTTTATTGCACGATAAAACATAACATGGCAGCAATTTTTTTCTGTGAGAAGAAAGAGGTGTTAATGTAGTCTTGGATTTATTTTAATATGTAAAAGTTACAGTGAATTGGTTATTATCTAAGGTGTTAATGATAGCACCTCTAGCATTAGGGCAGGTAATTGCATATTCTATTTATTGACGCTATTTTAATCGTTTTACTTTCTGTTATGGAAAAACGTTAATAATTAAGGTTATGTGGTTGTACAATTTGGGTAGTAAAGGGAGTGCCGTAGCACCAAAATTCTGTCTTTTTTATTTTTTATTTAAAAAATATATATATATGATAAGGATTAAGGGACAATCAATTTCAAATCTTGATACTTAATATATATTTCAAATTACTAATTTTCTAAAATAGATTAGCTGAAGCAACATGTTACTAAAATAACCTCCCTTGCCTAAATTAATTTATTTGAAATATTAGGAAAATTGTATGTACATAATTCATGCGGGTATTGACTGACCTAAAGGAAAGTTAATATTTTGGCCGAATTATTTACACACATGTGATGATAAATATGTGACAACTGTAAAGTTTTCCATTATGTGAACATTAAATCGGTCCAAATATAGACTTGATGTTTGACCAGATTTATTGTTAATATTTGATTACTACACCAAGATTGTCATTTACAAGTTGGTATTTCTGTCCAAAGATTAAATATCAATGTTGTGATTGGTCTCTTGTGATGGGGTTGACCATTATTTGAAATTATTGATTGTCCAATACGGATTCCTACGTGAACATGTTAATTAAGTTTAAGTTCTCCATTCAGTTAATCCATCAACTTCTAGAATAGTTGCCAACATCAATTTAGTTCTACCAAAGTATAAGGGTAAATAAAATATAAGGGGGTATATTATGGAAATGTCTCATCTTGCTTCAAAATCAAAAGCATTAAAATTTGAGTTGACCGATGATTTGCTCGTGCATTTGGTTTTAATTTCTATTCTTGCACAATTCGGTTAATTTAAGATCAGTTACAACTGTCAAAAGGGAAAGTGGACTCTTGATAAGCTCATTTTATATTGTATACAAGAAGAAGAAAGTCTAAAGCAAGAGAGAACCGGAAGAATAAAGAAGCTGCATTTGGTTCAGTTTAAATGAAACAGCAAAGTCTAAAAATGATTAATCATCTGGCTGTTAATTTTGTGAAAATTTGGAATACATAAAGAAAGGCTATACTAAATACAACGCTTGGCGTGTAAAGAAGAGTACACTTCTCACATTGATTTATTTTAAGATTAATTTAGTGTCAATATCTAGGCACACTTGGTGGATAAATTTTGGTATCACTACTCGTATAAGTGTGTTTATACGAGGTTACCGAACAACCAAAAGTCAACTGATGTTGAAAGATTAGTATTTGTCATCGGTTAGGTCACATCTCTCTAAAGAGAAAGGAAAAGCTTGTGTTTGAATGAATTCTTGATCCCCTTAATTTTTCAGACTTAAGTATTTATGTTAACTACATTAAGAGGAAATAAATAAATATAAGGAAATTATGTGCCAATAGAAATTCAGACATCTTAAAAACTAATTCATATGGGTATCTGTAGGCTGTTTCATTTGGTTTCTTAGAATGATCAACAGTTATTTATTGTGTTTAGATGATTTTTCTCATTATGGATACCTCTTTCTCATTCATAAGGAATTTTAATCACTGGACAAGTTCAATGTTTATAAGACTAATGCTGAAAATCAACTCAGTAAAAGAATTAAACAAGTCATATCTTACCATCGTGGTGAATACTGTGACTGATATGACAGATTAGGAGAACAACATCCAGAACCTGTTGCTAAAATACCTAGAATAATGTGAAAAAGTCCCATGGTACACCATGTCAAGGTCCTCTGGCATGAATTTTGTTACCGAGAGATGAAACAGAACAATTAAAGACATAGTAAGGAGTATGATTAATCATTTCACCTTGTCGGAATCTCCCTAGGAATAAGCACTAAATACTGTAACTTAAATTCTCAATAAAGTTCCAACTAAAACAATTGTTAGGGGGCTACAAATTTTTTAAAAGATCCCACTATTAGGTCAATTCTCGAAACGAGAAATGTCTGATTCCTTGAGAATGTAGAGTTTATGGTGGGAGATAAGGTTACAAGGTTAATGATTTT